TCAGGCTGTAAACGGCGCAAGATGAAATTTAATCACGTAAGAATCCGAAAGTTGGTGCATGTTTTGTGAACATGGATAAAACTTCTGTTGCATGAGTTGTTATTCTTTTAATACTTTTATCACATTCCAGTTCAATGAAGCTATATATAAAAAAAAAAGTTAAACATAGGTGTAGGTTGCCAGTTTACAGTGAAAATTAGGGCTACAGTGAAAAGAAAATACAGCATACAGTGAAAGTCGTGGTTAAAACGAAAAGGAAAGGATACAGTATAGAGGTAAAATTATGGTTAACAGGAAGAGAACACAATACAGCTGTAGGATGTATGGTTACAGTGAAAAGAAAAGTGTACAGCCTATAGTGAAAGCTTTGGTCACAACAAGAATACAACAAGCAGTGAAAATAACGAAGAATAATGAATGTATCATCATATAGCGAAAAAAATAATATATTACAAAAAGCCATTATCACAAGAAAAAGAAATACGACATACATTAAATTAAATTGCAATTACAGTGAAATTAAAAGAATTCCCGTGATTTCCACTGAAAAAATAAAAGAATACAGCATTCAGACTATATGGTCGGTTAAACGAAAAGACGAGAAAGTGAAACTTATGCTTACAGCGACAAGAAGATAATGCAGAATAAGATGAGCGAAACTTAAAAAAAATTGTGACGGAAAGAACACAGCAAAGCTCGAAAATTGCAATTATAACAAGAAATTTTGCAACATACGGGTAAAATTTTGGAGATTACAGCTGCAACAATAGCAAAGAGAAAGGATAAAACATACAGTAAAAAATTAACTGTTTTAACGAAAAGAAAGAAAAAAAAAATCTAATTTACAAGAAAAATTATCATTACAGCGAAAGAAAAATAAAATCGAATGTATTGAAATTTATTGATTAGAACGAAAAGAAAAGAAAATAGGAAAAGTAACTGCTTATCTCACACTAAAGAATCATGACGTAAATGAAATAGTCATTGCTCATTATGGAAATTATGATGAAAATTACTCATAATCAATTAAAATTATAGATTGTAAATTAAATGATAGTTTAAGATAATTAAAGTTATGATAAGGATTACTATGAAAATGAAATTGGTAAAGGTGAAATGCTGCCAATAATAACGATAATAATAATCATAATAACGATATTAACAATAGTAATGAAAGTAATGGCAATAATGATATTCTAAAAAGCATGATAATAATAATAATAATAATAATGATAATAATAATACTGATAGTAATAATAACAATGATAATAATTATGATAATAATGATAAAGATAATGATTATAACAACAATAATATAATGATAATAACAATAATAATAATAATAAAAATAATTATAAAAACATAATGATATTTATTTTAAAAAATAGTAACAATGACAATAACAATATCAATATTAATATTGATAATAATAGTAGTAATAACGCTAATGGTAATGATCATACAAATAATGGTAATAATCCTATTGATAATAAGAATACTAACGATGATATTGAAAATAATAACAAAACAAAAGGAAAATTATAATGACAATAACAACAATGATAACGATAACAAAAACAATAAAAAAAAAAAAACTAAACGAAAGAAATTCATAAACGTAACCATAACGTGACTATCGATAATTATAATAACGATGATGTCATTCACGCTAAATTTCACTCATTGTTTTCCTGCCTGGCCGGACCTCCCTTCCTAGGCAGTCAACAGAGGGAGAGAGAGAGAGACCCAGCTGTCAGACGGAGTTACTGCGAAGATTTTTGATTTTCAGAAGCGAAGCCTTTTTTCCCTTAAGGTTTTATTGTTCATTCCAGTCTCCAGGTTACACTGCTGCTTCGGTTCCTGGGGGAGAAATGAGTTTGTTTGTTTTTTTTTTTATTATTATTCTTGATTGTGAATCATGGGGAAAAAAGGGGGAGGGAGGGAGAGAAGTGTAGGAAGGGAGAAATGAGAGAGAAGGGAGGGTGATGAAGAGAGAGAGAGAGAGAGAGAGAGAGAGAGAGAGAGAGAGAAGGGGGAGAGAGAGAGAGAGAGAAGGGGAGGAAGAAAGAGAGAGAGAGAGAGAGAGAGAGAGAGAGAGAGAAGGGGTGGAATAGAGAGAGAGAGAGAGAGAAAGAAATAGAGGGGAGATGACGAATCTATTAATTCATTTTACCATTATCCGCGATGATCGTAAGTTTTAGAAGCAGTGAGTAAGCGACAGAGAGATAATGAAAAGAAAGAGAGAGAGACAGACAGACAGACAGACGGACAGATACACAGACAGACAAACAGATAGACGAACAAGCAGACAGACAGACAAAAAAAAAAAAAAAAAAAATAGAGACAAACGAAAAAAATGGAGCAAGATAAATAGAAAACAACAACAACAACCGATAAACAAAACAAAACGAAAAGAGAGAAAGAGCGAAAAACAGAATAACATACAGACATAGAACAAAAAAGAGATATTTGTAATCAGACGCCCGACTGCGTGTCTGGCGAAGAGGTAGAGAGACAGAGGTGGACGGTGTATGTGTGTGTGTGTGTGTGGGGGGGGGGGTGAAATCAAAGCTAAACAAAAGGGGATCATGAATTATGTACAGATGTTCCCAGAAGAGACATGACGTAAGCCATGCTAACCTGAATGTCATGCTGCCGTGGACACCAAACCGCAACCTATTAATGTATGTATAAGAAAATATAACAGAGAAGGCAGGTTTTGGAAATAAAAGCCATTATTGAAACTATGACTAAGCTTCAAATATAATAATCACAAAAAATAAAAGTTTCCATTTGTTTGAGAGAATCGAATCGATATTATGAAAGTGTCAAAACAATTTGATAAATCATAAACAAAGAAAAAAAGATAACGACAAATGAAAAAATAAACAACGAAACACCAATTAAATCATAAACAAAAAACAAAAACAAAAATTAAAATCAGCAACACTAATCGTAAACAAATAAAAAATCATGATAATCAGCAACACTAATCGTAAAAAAAAAAAAAAAAAAAACATGAAAACAAGTAACAATAACACAAACAAGCAAACAACAACTAAACAAAAACAATAATATACCCACACCACATAAATTGCGGACAGAATTCACAGACAACATGCAACGGACAAAATAAACAGAAATCTTCCACTAACGACTATTATCATTCTCAGCCGCTGAAGAAAGAACAAAATAAAAGAAAAAAAAAAAAAAGAAAGAAAGAAAAAAAAACTTTATTGTTTCTGGTTCGAAAGAGGCCTGGGTGGGGGGGTGAGGGGGAAGGGAGGGGGGAGGATAATGGGTGGAAAAAATATGGTATCAAGTAGAAAGAAATAATAAGCGATAGATAAATAGACGGGTAGAGAGATACATAGACAAATAGAGATAAAGATGGATAGAATAGAGATAGATAGATAGATAGATAAACAGATAAATAGATAGACAGCTAGACAGACAGGTAGACAGATGAGCAGAGAAAGAGAGAGCGAGAAAGAGAGAAATACTGTTTATAAAGAGTGGGTATAAAAAGTTAATGATCGTTATCATTATTATTATTGCCATTGATAATCTTATCATTATCTTTATTGTTATCACTGTCATTATCATTACTCTATTACTATTGATTTTGATATTATTATTATTATTATTATTATTATCATTATTATTATTAATATTGTTGTTGTTGTTGTTATTGTTATTGTTATTGTTGTTGTTGTTGTTGTTGTTATTGTTGCTGTTGTTGTTGTTGTCGTTGTTGCTATTGTTATTGTTATTGTTATTATTATCATTATTACTATTATTACTATTATTATCATTATTATTGTTGTGATTTTTATTATTATTATTATTATTATTATTATTATTATTATTATTATTATTATTGTTATTGTTATTATTATTATTATTATTGTTATTACTATTTTTATTTTTATTGCTGCCATTATTTTTGCTATTGTTATTATTAGCATTATCATCATTACCATTATTCTTATAATTATTATTATAATTATCATCACTATTATTATAATCATTATTATTATTAGCATTAGCAATAATATTATTATTATTACTGTTATTCTTAATACCACTATTAACATTATCATTATCTATAGCATTATCATTATTATTTTTTTTATTATGATTATTATTATTATTATTGTTTTTACTACTACTACTACTACTGTTGCTATTACTATCACTATTATTTTACCATCATTGTTATCATCAACATCATCATCATTATTATCACTAATATCATTATTGTTATTATTATTCATTACTATTATTATTATTATCTCCATTATCATTATCATTATCATTATCATTATTATCATTATTATTATTATCTTTATTATTATTATTATTATTATCATTATTATTATTACTATTATCATTACTGTTATTATCACTATCACTGTCATCATTATTATCTGTATTATTATTGTTATTATTACGATTATCATTACTATTATCATTGCTATAATTATTACTATCATTACAATTATTATTATCATTATTATTATTATCATTATTATTGTTGTTGTTGTTGCTGTTGTTGTCGTTGTTATATTAACTATCATCATCATTAGCAGCAGCAACATTATTATTATTATTGTTAAAAGGGGTATGGTAATTATCATTATCGTCATCATGATTATTATTACTATCATCAGTCGAAGTAGTATAATTTTTGTTATTGTTATTATCATTATTATTATTATCATTATCATTATCATTATTATCATTACCATCATCAGCATCTTATTTATATCATTGTTATCATTAAATCATTGTTTTATTTGTCTCATTGTTATAGTTCTTATCGTCCTTGTTATCGCTATATCATTTTGTTAGATATTCTTTTTGTTCTCATGAACTTTGTCTTTATAGTATTGTTTATATTTTCTTTGTCTCTCTTCTCTTTGACATATTCGTAATCAAGAAATATTATGTATGTGTGATGTAATTTAAAATACGAAGCATGTAATGATAAAAAAACATTTACTTTTATCAATCCGATGTACAGCAAATAAAAACGGTACAATATAATTTTAATGATTTTTAATAACAGTTAAATTCATATACATGAAAAAAAAAAATCCTTTAACTCACTGGAGACAGATTTTTTTTTCAGTTTCGGAGAATTGATTGTTAAAACCAATTTTAGTTATTCTATTTGTATAATGTGTTTTCAAAATAGGGTCAGAAGTATTGCCAAGAATCCGTAGCACCATCCATGAGCATCAGCACAACCGACCTTAAAACGCGGTCTGTTTGATCCATTGGAGATAGAACAGTTGCCGGATGTTGACGTAGAGGCCGGCGTAATCCCGGAGGCCACAGTTGTAGCCCTGGGAGATGACCCCCGCCAGTGTGTATCGATTGCATTCGAAGTGCACAGCCGGACCGCCAGAGTCACCCTGAGGATATAAGGGTATAAGTAGGTTAAGGTTTGTACAGTGTTAACGTGCCGGTCTCTCCTCCGAGGGGTCGGCGGTTCGCGTTCCGAACAGGCGCGAGAAATTGCAATTGTCGCCTGGTGGTTACTGCTGTCGCTGGGCACCACGACGGGTAAGGACTCAGACGAGTAAACACTAGGTGGCACAGGCTGGGCTCCCCTCACAGGCATAGCCCAGGCGAGGCACCGCTGTTCATTAACGTGCACAGCTTCACACCTCTGACTCAGCTCCCCCACCCCTCTATCTTATGGAGATTATTTCTCGTTACTCTCCTCGAAATGAAGCAAATGCAATTAAAAAAAATAGAGCTTGTGTAACACACATATCTTGCAAATAAAATGGGTTAGTGTTTCAAACACCTTGGTGATGTTATCTGTGTTCATGACTAAAATCGGAAAGAATCACTTGTATGCGAGGTGAGAAAATAAATAAAATGAATGAAGATTAACAATTAAACAAAAATGACAATAAAAGTCCTGCTGGAACTATACCTGACAAGCGTCTTTGCCCCCTGCAGTAGTGCCAGCACACATGGTCTCTTCGCCGATTCCAGAAGGCCAAACTTTATTGAAGAACACCAGATTCTTGTACTGTGCATGGCAGGTGGACGAAGGGAACACATTCACCTGAACTTCCTGCAGCACCGGACTCCTGCGGCCGCCTGCACCAGAAGAACGGGAATTTGTGTTATGAAGTACACTACATCAAGTGCTTTAGAGTATATGAAATCGAAAGTAGGAAGAGTTGAAGAATACGGTATATTGTATCTAACATAGGGTCATTATATACACACACACACACACACACACACACACACACACACGCATATATATATATATATATATATATATATATATATATATATATATATATATATATATATATATATATATATGTGCATATATATATATGCATATATATATGTGTGTGTGTGTGTGTGTGTGTGTGTGTGTGTGTGTGTGTGTGTGTGTGTGTGTGTGTGTGTGTGTGTGTGTGTGTGTGTGTGCATAGATATACATACATACATACATACACACACACATATATAAATATATATATATATATATATATATATATATATATATATATATATATATATATACATATATATATATACATATATATATATATATATATATACATATATATACATATATATACACATACACATACATATACATATATACATATATATATATATACATACATATACATACATATACATATATACATATATATATATACATACTTATACATACATATACATACATATACATATATACATATATATACATTGTAGATAAGGTATGAATGAGAATAAACATCTTCACAATACAAGAGATATATTTGACCGAGATGCATTATGCATTTCTGACGAAGATATAATCGAAACCGGTCGAATACATCTCTTGTATTGTGAAGATATTCATTCTCATTCATACCTTATCTACATTTGTCAATATGAATACGGTTCATATATATACATATATACACATATATTTATACATACATATGCATATTTACATATATATACATATATACATATATATATATACATATATATGCATATACACATATATATACACACGTATACATACATATGTATACATATATATACACATATATACACATATATATACATATATATAGATATATATACATATATACATATTTATACATATATATGAACATAGATAGATCGATAGATGTGTGCATGTGTGAAGAAATATATATATATATATATATATATATATATATATATATATATATATATATCATAAAATGGAAGAACGGAAAAAGGCACTGACCTGCTTGAGTATTTCCCCAGCCTGTGACAGTGATTTTACTGTTCACAAGTCGAGAGGGACTACGCTGGTTCCACGGCAGGCACACAGGTCGGATGAAGTTCTGTCAGGGATGCAAATTGCAATATATTTCCTCTATCACCTATACATATAGTAGCAACAGTAACCTTATGACAAGGAACATAGGAGCAAGAACTATATCAATATTGTTTTATATCATTCCCTTTACAAAAAACTCTCTGGCAACTACATATATAAATGGAAATGCTGGGAGGAGGGCTACTGACCCTCTTACCCAGTGAGGCAGGTCGTGGGTCCTATTGGGAGGGAGACTGGTGGGGCACAGATGGGAATGGGAGTTGCTCGTCCCGCCTGCGCTCTGGCAGCCGCCAACCCAGTGTGAGGCCTATGGGGCTAAGCCCAAGGGAACCCCACAGGCGGACGTTGGGCCTCACAGCCTGCCAACCCCTTTTATATGGGGTAGCAGTGGCAAAGGTAGTGTCCACCCAGAGCGACAGCCCAAGACTTAACCTCAAGTGAGCTGTCTGGGTAGGAGCTTGGAACATCCGGCCCCTGTGGCAAGATGAGCAGTTACCTCTGCTATCATGGGAACTGAAGTGGTTGCCCACTCGGAGGTGAGAAGATCTGGCAGTGGCACAGTCATGGAAGCGAAACCTGGACATATCTAGTGCCTTGTAGTCTCATCTTGGAGACTCTACTCCAGATCATAGGGTACAGTTGACAGGACCATGTCCAACTGACAGCTACACCATGAGACTGGCATGGGACCTGTTACTTGTATCATCCGGGACCGCTGACTCAGGCTATATGGGCATCTAGCTCGTTTCCCCGTGGATGACCCTGCCCATCAGGTTGCCTCTTTGTGAGACAATCATGAGTGGAGGAGGCCCGTGGGCCAACCTAGGAGATCATGGCTTGAGCAGCTCGCGAGGAGATAGGCCGAGGGCCAGAATGGACACTCGCCATGAGGGATCATCGTGGCTGGAAGCGAAGGATGGACGTGGCCACGCGCCCCCGTCGGCGTTGCCCCCCGATGATGATGATGATTACCTTTATCTGAACCTTCTTGCTAAGTTTGATGAGTGCGAGGTCGTGATAAGCTTGTTCTGAGACGTAGTGCGGATAGACGACTATTTGGCTGATTCCGTAGTCCTCGTGTTCGGTGTCGCTCGGGTCGTCGTAGTCGTGTTCTCCGAGTCGTATGATGCTTGGTGTTCTGTTAACGATAACGATGATAATGATGATAGACAACAATGATGATAGTGATAGTAAAACTGAAAATGATAACAGGGACACTAATAGTAATGATGATGATAATGATTATGATGGTAATATTATTAATAATGGTGATGATGTTCATCATCATAATTATAATCATAATAATGCTGATAAGTATTATAATAACATTAATAATGATGATGATCATAATGACAATAATGATAATATTGATAATAATAATGATAATAGTAATAATAATAATAATAGTAATAATAATAATAATAATAATAATAATATAATTGTAACAATAATGATAACCATAAGAATAAGAATAAAGATAACAAGAATAATGAGAGTAATAATGGTGATGGTAATGATAACTGTGATCATGATAATGATAACAACAGTGATAATAATGACAATGATAGTGATATGGGAGTAATGATACTGATAATAATGGTAATACCAATAATGAGAATGATAAGGATAATCATAATAGCAACGCTAATAGGAATAATGATAATGATGTTGATAGTAATCGTGTTGCTAGTAGTAGTGTCATTGATAATAATAATAATAATGACCATGATAATGATAGTAATAATACTAATAACACAGATAATAATGAAAACAATGATAATATTAATAATATTAATAATAATAGGGATAATTATTATGCGAAAAGATAACTATAATGATGATGATCATAATAATAGTAACAGTAATAATAAAAATAATGATAATATTAATGATGATAATAATAAAAATGATAATAATGATAATGGTAATAACAAGAACTATGATAGAAGCGTAATAATAGTAGTAATGATAATAATGATGATGGTGAGGATAATGATAATGACAATGAAAAGGAAAACAGCCACAGTAAGGAATGAAAACTATTTTTATTTTCATTTCTTACTGTGGGTGTTTTCCTTTTAATATTAGTGTCCACGTTACTGTGTCTGTGTTTGTGTCAGTAATAATAATAATAATGATGATAACAATGGTAGTCTTAATGATGATGACGATGATAATAATAATCATAATGATAACATATATTTATACTACTACTACTACTACTACTAATAATAATAATAATAATGATAATAATAACAACAATAATAGTAATAATGATAACAGCAGTAATGATAATAATAATAATGATAATAATAATAATAATGATAATGATAATGATAATGATAATGATAATAATAATAATAATAATAATAATAACTAATGATAATGATAATAGCATAAAATGATGATAATAATAATGCTATTAATGACTGTTTTCATGATAATAATAATAATGATAATAATAATAATAATAATAATAATAATAATACATCAATAAGATAATGATAATAATAATAACAACAGTAATAAAAATAATAATAATAACACCTATTATGATTATAGTAATTATAATAATAGTAATAGTAATAGTAAAAGCAATAATTATAACAATAATGGTAATAATGATAATTATCATCAATACCATTACTATTAGTATCATCAATGTTATCATTATTATTACTATTATTGTTATTATTATCGTTATTATTATTATCATTATTATTTTTATTATCACCATCATCATCATCGTGATCATTACCATTATCTTTAATATTACCATTATGGTCACTATAACTACTATCCCTGTCGTCTTTATTATCATCGCTTTGTTATCATTATTGTAATTATTACTGCTTATCATTAATATAATATTGTGTCATCATCCGTATCTTCATTATTATCATTACCATTATAATCATCATCATTATCATCATTATCATCATCATTATGATTTTGATCATCATTAAAATTATTTATATCCTTGTTATTATTATATTATTATTATTTTTATTATTATCATTATCATTATCATTATCATTACTGTTATTATTGCCGTTATCATTATCATTACTGTTAATATTACATTATCATTATTGTTATTACTATCATTATCATTATCATCATCATTATTATCATCACCATCAGCTTCATCATTATAATCATTATCACTCATCATCATTAATATCATCATCAGCTTCATTATTATAGTCACCATCACTGTCTTTAACTACGGCTATAAGTATTACCATCATCATCATCATCATAATGATAATTTTCGGCTCTTCCGCTCACTGAACTTACGATAACGAAATTATTGTTACGATATGACGAATTACGATATAGCAATAACACGATTGCGATATTATTGAGTCTCGCTGGCAACTTGTTATAAGAACAGCTTTTTTCGGCTCTTCCGGTCACCGAACTTACCTGGAATCCAAGCAGTGAGCAGCAGTGAGGATCCATTGGTCGTTGATCAGGGAGCCTGCACAGAACCAGTCTGGAGTCTTGGTGCTGTCCAGTTCGCCGAGGAGAGCCTGCGGGAGGAAGGAGAAAGGGTAAATATGCATAGATTGATGCGCGCCCATACGCACACAAACACAAACACACACAAACACACATGGATAAGCACACAAACACACACACACACACACACACACACACACACACACACACACACACACACACACACACACACACACACACACACACACACACACACACACACACACACGCACACACACACACACACACACACAAATCTTTCCATCCGTCCATACACACATACAAATACTCAAAACAACCCTATGTTTGTGCTTCGGATCAGCACTTTATTCGCACAACGGACGTCAGGAAAGTCAGCAGCTCACCATCCACGGCCAGGCGCTGACCAGGGACGTTTCGCCGCCAGCCACAGACTGCACGGCCTTTGAGGGTCCGATGCCGATACTTTGGCCGAAGAGACTCTGGCGACGGCGGCGGGACAGAGTAGCACCGAAGGGCGACAGGGTCCTTGAGGCTTGGCGTCCGCACTCTGGAAACAAGGGGCGGAGTTTCGGAATTCGGCTCGGTCGGGGGTTGAGGAAGGGGTCCGGGGAGAGGGCGATGTTTGTTTGTTTGTTTGTGGAAATGGGAATAATCGGTCTAATGGGATGAGTCTAGTCTCTCTTTGTATTCCTCTCTCTCTCTATCTATCTATCTATCTATCTATATATATATCTGTATCTGTTTTTATCTCTCTCTCTCTCTCCCTCTCATATATATATATATATATATATATATATATATATATATATATATATATATATATGTATATATATATATATATATATATATATATATAATGTTTATATATCTTTCTCTCACTCTGTTTTCTCTCTCTCTCTCTCTTTCTTTTTCTTTCTCTTTCTCCTTCTCTTTTTTTCTCTCTCTCTCTCTTTATATATATACATCTCTCTCTCTCTCTCTCTTTATATATTCATCTCTCTCTCTCTTTTTTTCTCTCTCTCTGTCTTTCTCTATCTCTCTCTCTCTCTTCCTCCCCCCCCCCCTTCTCTTTCGCTCTCTCTCTCTCTCTCTCTCTCTCTCTCTCTCTCACTCACTCACTCACTCTCTCTCTCTCTCTCTCTCTCTGTCTTTATCTTTCTCTCTCTTCCTCCCCCCCCCTTCTCTTTCCCTTTCGCTCTCTCTCTCTCTCTCTCTCTCTCTCTCTCTCTCTCTCTCTCTCTCTCTCTCTCTCTCTCTCTCTCTCTCTCTCTCTCTCTCTCTCCCTCCGAGCAATAAACAGCACAAAGATATGTTTACTTGCCAAAATTAACTACCGGCGCAGCGACGCCGTCGTTATTCCCTGTGCTGGAACATGAGGTGGAATCTGTTGATTGAAAAAAAAAAAACAGAAATTTCTCTTACTTCCAAGGCATTCGTAACTGCTTTATAAAGGAATGAAACAGCCTCACCTGCACTCACCCTCAGTCAGCATAATTGTTCTTTGAGAATACTGATCTTTGATAATAGTGACCTATCAAAGAACCGTTTACTGATGATTTAGTTTTGCAGCATTAGCACTGACTTACCCCGAGGACAGCAGACGATGGCGAGTCGACCAAGTGTACCGCAGTATTTTACTTCACGCCTGCTGGCAAACTGAGCTACTTCCGGACACTGAGTGATCCTCCGACACACGCCAGGACCTCCAGACAGCAGCCTGCATTCTTGGTCGAGGCCTGTAAACCGTGCGTCAATGCATGGTGTCACATATTCGAAATATACCAGTAGCAGGAAATATTTCCATGACCAAGCAATTCAATTTGAATAGTTCTCCCTCCCCTTTTATATGTAGAATGGCATCACGATATTCTTAAATGATTCACGAGACTTTTTGAAACTAACCTTGTGCTGCAGAGAAAGTCAGCGTCGACCCAACGACGATGACAAGGAGCGAAAGCAATCTGTAGCCGATCGACATCATGACTCTACCAGTCCTGC